AACCGCCTTTTTCGGAAAGTTCGATAAGTGCTGCGCATTCCTCAGGAGTGCATACATTATCAATTGTAAAAGCGCAAGTTCCTTGACCTGATCCACGTTTAACTTCGGTAATTCCCAGAGAGGACAAATCAACCTGGGTAGCCCTAAGTTTACGATTAATTGGATTGGAAAGAATGTTTGACATTTTTTACTGATAAATATTGAAGAACCGTCCGTTTTATAACATTTAACAATCAGAAAATAAATTCCTATTATAATGTCCGCAAACGGATAATAAGGTAATCATTAAAGAAAATTCACAACCGGTTTTTAGTATTTTCGGTTTGAAAATCATTTAATATTTTTTAACTTCCTAAAACAAGTTTTATTTTGGAAAGCGTCATTCGATTTAAATTTTTTTATTGTAATGGTGGAGTCTGTCGCTTGCTTATAGATCTCGTCGCGACACTTCACACGACAGCTAAGTAGGTTCACTTTTCGCTATTTAGCTGTAAATTCGTTGTTGCACTAATTGCACTTTTGTTCTCTTCTCTAGGCGAAAGAGGCGATTGGGTTTATTTAGTCAATTTAATTTTTTTTGTTAATGTCACGTGATAGCATACTCATAAAAAGTTTATCACGCAGATATTTTAACACTTGAGACAAGCACACTTGCTAACTTTATTAAAAGTAAGAAACTAAGTGCATTTACTGTTCCAATTATATTTTTATCTTACAAGATAATTGATTTATTATTGCATACTTTTAAATAATTTTGAGCTTCAAATATCTCGAGTATTAAATTTTTCAAGACTTTAATATTGCTATATCAAAGTTTTTATCAGATTTACTTTAACCCTTATTAGATAGTCTTTTTTATTGATTAGTTTATAAAGGTCTTATTATTCTTTGTTGTTAGTTTATAAATTGATATTAAAATTAAATTAAATTAAAAAATATATTTTTAATTACAACTTTAATTAAGAATTGATTATATATATTATTAGATTTAATATTATACAGAAAAAACCATATTTAAAAAACATGTTTTTATTAATCTTTTTTTTTTTTTTAAGGCTAAGTTGCAATACACGCATGGATTTATTGATATTTCAATTATGATCACAATTACCTATACATGAACGGTCTACTAGCTATTGCTAATGTTAACTCACGCAACCCATCCTTTTTATCAGAATACTAACTAACACCTTGTAGGTGGGTCCATATCCTGGCTTTTATCGCTATGTGATAGTTCTATAACAGCCTAAGTAAGTACCTATCACGTCATGCCTCCACCGTGCATATGCTGTATTTGATTACTGGAACCTTCGACGCAAGTAACACTCCCTAGTGAATGCTTCAGTTTTACTGCTGATTGGCACTGATTGCCAAATCTAGGGGTCATTTTGACCTAGTGGGGCGTGACTCCTTAAGGGTTTTTCCCTTAAACTCTTAGTAGACACTCCAGACAGGCCGGTTGGCGTAAGCTGCCAAATCTAGAGGTATAAATACCAAGCAGGGTGCAACTCCTGTATACTCTGTTTCGTCACATAGTAGCCAAACCATGAATGCAGGTGGTCCCAGCTTCGTTGCACTAGCTTCAAGGTCTAATTCTATAATTTTTTTTTATAATTTCTTTATAATTTTATAATTTATTTATTTTTATTATAAACAAATATAAGTATAAAATTTTATTTAAACAATATATTTTTTTGTTATTATATTAAGTATTTTTTTTTTTTTTTTTTTTGCAAAAGGCATTAAATGCGAGACATTTATTAAACTTTCATTTTTATATCATTACATTAAAAATCTCTAACATACAAAGTAAGTAGATTAATCCTAGCCTATTATATTAAGTATTTATTTAAGTTAATATTAATTTATTAGATATAAAATCTTAGATATAATATTATATTAAATAAATTATAAATAGTCTATATCTATTTTTTTTTCCAATATATAAATATTATTGCATTATTAATTTTTTTTTTGTAAATAAATATCATTTCTTTATTTATTTGTATAATAATAAATATATATTATAAAAGAAACAACATCCATCATGTGTATTAGTACAACGAGTTAAATGCTAGCTTGCTTATAGTAACTGCTAGACTAATATTGAAAAAAAAATTTTAAAATAATATATCTTATCAAGCAGCTATGATTATCTACTTAGCATTGGGTGAGAGAAAGTTAAAAAAATCTGAAATTAGTTTGGAAATGTATTTAGTAAAGTTGAATCCACTTTGAATATATAAGTTAGCTACGATAATGAGTGCATCTATGATAATTGATGTTAATATGGAATTGTTATTGGGTGATTTAGTTTTGATTGAGTTTTTAATAGTTTGTTTTGTTGTGTTACTATGAAGGTTGTTGTCACATTTGATGCCGGTGAGAGGAGAGATGTTTGTTGTGTCACAGCAAGATGTCCAAATTGAATTGTATAGACAAGCTAAGGTCTTAGTTAAAGCTTTAATCCAATTGGAGAAATTAGTTATAGAGAAAATATTGTTTGTAATACTATATGCCAGCTCTGCTAGTTGCCAAGTATGTGAGATAGGTTTGTGATTGCCATCAGAATAAAGAATATTGTTGATAATGATGATAAGTTGATTAATATCTTCTGATGTTGATAGGCATTTGAAGACATGTTGGATATTCTCAGTGCATAAGCTACATCAGGGACAGTATGGATCAGAGTATTGTTCTGAGTATAATCTATGAAGATTTTCTTTTGTAGGGAGGATTTCTGAAAGCAATTTGATTCTGAAGGCAATGAGGTTGCTATATTTGTTAGCTCTAAAGCTTTTTATTCTTTTGTTTGATTTGTTAATGATTTTGAGACCTTGAAGTTTATAGTGTGGGAGTGGTACGGCGAGTCAGTCACTAACTGATAATGAAATTCGTGGAACAGTGGTGTTAAATTTATTTAACGATAGGGCTTTTGGTG